GCTCCTGGGACACACTGTTGAACTGGGCCCTGAGGGATAGCGTTTTCTAGAAGCAAAATGTTGACTCATTATGGAAAAATCCATTTTTACAAGTCTTTTATCTGGCTTCAGTGCTACCTCTATAAGCTGTCATACCGTGTATCTAAGAGGAACCATTAACCATCACTGAATATAAATGCTTCACAGAGTGGCCCAATGAAACGGCAATTTGATTGCAGATCAAACCTGCATTAGGCAGCAACTACCCTTGTGACTTTCCATTTGGGTTTCAGATGCAAATCCACATTTTGTCATGGGCATTATACCCACTCCTCACCGACTATATCGTTATCCGACATTTTGCATTTATGACAACGGTAAAAAACTACTATCCAACTATTTTGTGCTTTATCGACGTATGTCTGGCGGTAACAAATGCTGAGGTGCAAGACAAGAATAATGCTGGCTGTGATAGTTAAGGTTATGTGTCAGCTTTGCTGGGCCATGATTCTCAGTGGTTTGGCAGCTATGTAATGATATAATTCTGCCGTTATGTAATGATATAGTCATCCTCCATTTTGTGATCTGATGTAGTCATCCTCCATTTTCGCATGCCGATTTTTGCATAACGACCTGGTCTTTGGAACCTAACCATGTCAATAAGTGAGGAGTGGGTGTATAGCTTATGTCCCTGTCATGGATTAAACTGTGTCCCCCCAAAATATCTGTCAACTTGGCGAGGCCATGATTCCCAGTATTATGTGATTGTCCACTATTTTGTCACTTGATGTGATCTTCCTATGTGTTGTAAATACTCTAACAATGTTAATGAGATGGGATTAGCGGCAGTTATGTTAACGAGGCAGGACTCAATCTACAAGATTAAGTTGTGTTTTAAGTAAACCTCTTTTGAGATATAAAAGAGAGAAGTGAGCAGAGAGACAAGGGGACCTCATACCACCAAGAAAGTAGTGCCAGGAAAATAGCGTGTCCTTTGGACCCGGGGTCCCTGCGCTGGGAATCTCCTGGATAAGGGAAGATTGATGACAAGGACTTTCTCCCAGAGCCGACAGGGAAAAAAAGCCTTCCCCTGGAGCTGGCATCCTGAATTCGGACTTCTAGCCTTCTAGACTGTGAGATAATAAATTTCTCTTTGTTAAAGCCATCCACTTATGCTATTTCTGTTATAGCAGCACTAGATGACTAAGACAATCTCTTAAAAGCATTTCCTTTTTTGGGGGGCGGTGGTAGAAAATACAGCCTTTATTCTCAAACACTCAGAAAATGATTAAGGTGATGTCGAACAAGGATAGGAGTACAGACTTCAGAACCAGGCCACATTGGTTTCAATTCCATCTTTGCTACTTGTTAGTTGAATAACCTTGGCCAAATCCCCCAACCCCTCTGAGTCTCCGAGAAATACAATGCCTGACCCAGGGTAAGTGCTGTATAAATGCGAAGCTCTTTGAGATTATCACCATCATGGCATAGAGAAACCAGGAGGACATTCACCCAACTGGAAACAACGGTATCCTCTAAAAAGTGGGATTTAGGAAAGGAGGATTTGAATTTCTACCTCACACATCTCTGTATTGTTTACACGGATTATTTTTTATTAAAAGTAAAAGAAAACATTACATAAAACGTAATCTGGTTAAAAGAATAATCTCTCCCAACCTCCCATTATGATAGCAAAGAAGGCATAAGATTTAAAAAAACAATAATAAAGCCTACCCAAACATTTAAACTAATGTTGTCAATCCAATGCTTGAAAACCACAGGAATTTTCTATACTTACACCACCAATAGAAGCTAAGTGAAAAAAAAAAAAATGCAATCAGTGGTCCATCTGAGCTTTGTTCTCTCCAAAATAGATATTAAGGTCTTTTCTTCACTCTGTTAGCAATTAACAAATTTGAGGCCAGTACCCATGGCCTTTGAGTTGATTCCAACTCATAGCGGCCCTATAGGACAGAGTACAACTTCCCCAAAGAGTTTCCAAAGCTATAAATCTTTACAGAAGCAGACTGCCACATCTTTCTTCTACAGAGCAACTGGTGGGTTCGAACCACCAACCTTTCAGTTAGCAGCCAAGCGCTTTACCACTGTGCCACCAGGGCTCCTTTGTCTTTCTACAGTCAGTAAGAAATTAGGAGGAGGTAAAAGTATGTCTGATACCAAAGCGTGGTCTTAGCCCCAACCACTCTGTCCAAGCGTCATTCTCTGGAAAAGCAACTGGAAGCTTCTTTAGAGGGTAGGACTCAGAAAACCTCACCTTCCTGCTGATCTTGAAGGAATCACTTGAAGATGTACTCTAGTCAACAGAAATGAGGAAGGCAGGTTATAACAGAGCAGAAGGATGACAGTGTTGTGGAACCTCAGCAAGCATGAGAGCCAGCTCAGCCCTGGAATTCAGACCAGAATGACGTGCTCAGCAACCACACCCCAGTGGGCAGTGCCCCACCTCGGATGGACCAGCCAGAATGTGCTGCGGGCAGAGTCTCCTTCCACAGTGGCACCTGAATGAGGTCCAAAAGGAAACAGTTACTTTATGAATTGTTATTGCTCACTATGGGAATAACTGTTACTGCACACAAGGACTCTGGCTCCCTCAATACCAGTTTTGTTTTGGGAGCTTCATTAAATGTAATTACTTTTGATTTACTAGGTTAAATTGTCTAAACAGAAATACACCTAAAATGGTGCAGCCATTTTGGAAAACAGGTTGGCAGTCCCTCAAAAGGTTAAACATAGAGATACTGTAGCATCAACAATTCCATTCCTAGGAATATACCCAAGAGAACTGAAAGCATGTGTCTATAGAAAAACCTGGACACAAATGTCCACAGCAGCATTATTCATGATAGCCAAAAAGTGGCAACAGCCCAATGCCCATTAACTGACAAAGGATAAACAAAATGTGGCATTTCCATACGATAGAATATTATCCAGCCATAAAAAGAAATGAAGCACTGATACACGCTACAGAATTGATGAACCTGGAAAACATTATAAGTGAAAGAAGCCACTCACACAAAGCCATATAGTGTATGAATTATGAAATGTCCAAAATAGGCAAATCCAAAGAGACAGAAAGTAGATCAGTGGTTTCCAGGGCCTGTGGAGAGGGGAAGAATGACTGCTAACAAGTGTAGGGTTTCTTTTTTTGGAGTGATGAAAATGTTCTAAAATTAGATAGAGGTGACTGTTGCACAACTATGTGAATCTACTAGAATCACTAAATTGTACACTTTCAATGGGTGAATTGTATGATATGTGAATTATATCTCAATAAAGTTGCTATGGAAAAGAAAGAAATACCTCCAAAATACTTTTGGGAAGTATGGCTGGGAGGGGGTGGGTACCAATTTTCTTTTCCACTTTTCTATTGCCAGCTATTACTTCTTGAACTGAATGAAGCTCTGGAGTCAAATGGATTCTGCTGGATTCAAATCCAAGCTCCTCCTGGATGAACTGGGTAATGTTGAGCAAGTTACTTAGTTATTATAAACCTCAGTTTCCTCATGTGTAAATTGGGTATAATAGTACTTACTTCATAGGGTAGTTGTGAGAGTTTAATAAGACAATGGTGTAAAGAATTTAGCCCATATTTACACTAGTAAATACTCAAGAAATATCAGCTGCCAATTTTGTTATTAAAAATACAAAGCACTAAAATAATACTAATTGTAGCTAACACTTACATAGGTGCTTTACCTATTTTAACATTTTAATGCATTTAATCCTCACAACCACCTTGTGAGGTAGGTACTCTTATCCCCATCTTACAGATACCTATTTACTGTGGAATGGATGAACACTTGTCAGTGGAATGCAGTCTGTAGATTTTGTAGGAATTTAGGAGCAGGTGAAGATCATGGTGGCCTGAGGCAACCAATGAAGACTTCATGGTGGAAGTGGCCCTGGAAGAAAAGGAAGGTGGGCCCTGGATAGTCCCTCCTGGGTGGGAAAGGGTAGGGGGACATTGCAGGTGAAAAGGAAATTATGAGAGCAAAGAGGTGAAAATATCAACATTTGTTATTTTCTGTACTTTTCCATACCTTAGAAATAATAATTAACAAACAAACCAAAAAACCCAAAAAACAAATCAATTGCCCTGGAATCGATTCTGACTCATAGCAAACAAAAATTTTAAATATTTAACTGCCATGACATGAAAGAAAGCAAACATTTTCTTTCTCTTAGTCTTTAACACAACATTCTTATGTTTACGTATAATAAACACTTGTTGGTCCCAAAAGTAAAGGCTAGTTTTCTTTACGGTTTTTAAATCTTTAGTGTTTTATTTCAATTTGCCTTTTTTACTTACTATAACTTGCAAAGAGTTTCCATATGGATCTACCTCACTCCTTGTCACGATTGCATAATATTCCATAGTTGAAATGTTCCTTGGTTTATCTCTCCACTCCTCTGTTGTTAGCTGCAGTGTTAGTCGCCCGACTCTTGGAAACCCCATGCGAAAGCATGGAAGGCGAGAATTCTACCTCTGAACCACCAAGGCCCCACGTCTGGGTTCCCTTTTTCTCTTTATCACCAGGATGGTTGCCACAAGTATTCTTGTACAGGCCTTTTCACGCATTGCGCGAGTGTTACTTTGACGAAGACATCAGGAAGCAGAATTACCGGATGATAAATTCAATTTTTTTTAAGGTAAATCAGAAACTAGAGACGCCCCTCAACCCCACTCCGCTTGCGGGCGCGGAACCCAAAAGACTTTCACGTGCGCCCGCGGCCGGGAGCGCGCGGGCCGTGCAGCTTTCCGGGCACGCGGACTAGGTGCGAGGGCGCGGTGACCTACTACCCTCCGAGCACGCGCTTTGGCCCCGCCTCGCAGCCCCTTTCATTGAGAAACACCTTAGCGATCACGTGAAAGAGGCATGCCAGTGGGGTGACGTCACGAAGAGTGGACCAATGGGAGCCTCTGTTTATGGCAGGGTCATCCGAATATTCATCTCCCTCCCCCCTCCCTCCGTAGCGCCGGTCTCTGGCTGTGGCTGTGAGCGCCGAGCTAGAGCTGGAGGCGGCGCGGCAGGAACGCCGTGGGGAGGGCTACGCTGGTTGCTTGCTGCAGCGGCGTCTGTGCGAGCTCCCCTGGGGTGCTTTGCGTCTCCAATCCGGGACCGAAGCCGCCGGCCGTCGCGAGCGGACGGATCCGCGCCCCGCCTAAGGGACCGGAGGACATGCGGGAGAGAGAATGAGCCAGAGGGACACGCTGGTGCATCTGTTTGCCGGAGGGTACGGTCCGGGGGGTGAGGGGGGCGTGGGTCCGGGCTTCTGAGGGTCCTGGGGGCGAGGCGGAGGGCCATGGCCTGAGGCGCGTGCCAGAGCGGTGTTGGGCCTGGATCCCGGGGAACCGGGGATGAGGCCCAGGCGGGCAGGGTTGAGGCGCGGGCGAGGAGGAGCGAGGGGGCTGGAGCCCGGAGAGCCGAAGGCAGAATCCTGGGTGCGGTGTGGTGATGCCCGGGCAGGGAGGGGTGAGGAGGCTTGAGCCCGGGGAGCTGAGGGGTAAAGCCCGCCGGGGTGTGAGGCTTCGGGCCCGAGGGGCCGTGAGGAGGCTGAGGCCGGAGGGGCGGCGGGCGGGGCTTGGGTGGGCGCCTGGTCCCGGGCCGCTGCAGGACAAGGCCCTGCGCCGCGGCCTAGCCGGTCTGCGGGGCCGCGACGAGGAGCGTAGCTCCAGGTCTCGCGTACGTTGTATGGCCCGTGGACGCGGCGGGAAGTGCGGAGGCCGGGGACAAAATGGGCGCCGGGGCTTTCTTCGCCTTCCCTGCTTGCCGCCCAGGAGAGGGCCTCCTCAGGTCGCTCCCGCCCCACCTCGGACCTGGTGCCGCCGGTTTCCGGGCCTTAGTTTCTGCCCGGGTGGATCCTCCGGGCGCCTAAGGCACGAGCGGGGGAGGCTGTGGTCTCGTTCGCAGTAGCTTTGCTGCTTTCTAGGTCTTGGAAAATTCCCTTGCCGAGCTTTTCCAGGTTTCGAGAGGTGGTGCAAAGCGGCAGTTCCTGAGGGTCCGATTTTTTTTTTTTTTTCCCACGAAAACCGACTCTCCTGCACACCCTCTGCTTTTTGTCTTCTGCGGGGGTGGGGAGGGGTCAAACGTTTTGATGATAGTTACTATGTGTGTACAAGATTAGGAGTAAGCCTGAAGTCTCGGTCCGTTCCCTGATTGCCAGCATAAGTGCGACATCAGTTTTGTTGAGCCAGTTTAGTTTCCCTTTTAGATTGGTTCCTTCCAAATTTTTTGGAGAATCATAGCAATTTTAAGAGTTGAAGACTTACTTTATATCTGTAGGTTTAATAGGATTATCAAAAAATGGCTACGTTGAATGATGATGCTGAGGCGCTTTTCTGCCTACATGACCGTGTACAGATTGCATCCCTGTAAGCCCTAAAGTTAGTTTTTAGATCAGCCACCTTAAGAATATTAATCATACGTAAGCAGTTCTACTCACGGTGTCTTGATTTGAGTTGAGATTATATTGCCCATTGCGGTAATACTTTCTTTAGGTAAGCATATTCATTTAGCAAACATTTATTGTACACCAGTTATGGGCCGCCACTGTTCTGTCGTAAAAACAATATTTTTATTTTAATCCATGAGCTTTAGTTTAGGCAAAGCTTGCCTTCTGTATTTCTGAAATGTTTACTACTGGTAATCTTGGCAAATAAAACTATTTTTAAAAATCCATTAGCTGTGTGGATTTTCGGAAACCCTGGTGGCGTAGTGGTTAAGAGCTATGGCTGCTAACCAAAAGGTCGGCAGTTCAAATCCACCAGGTGCTCCTTGGAAACCCTATGGGGCAGTTCTACTCTGTCCTTTAGGGTTGCTATGAGTCGGAATTGATTCAGCGGCAGTGGGTTTGGTTTTTTTGGTTATGTGGATTCTACTATGGTAAATACTTTTGTAGAGGGAAGATGTCTTGTCATGCAGATAGTTGGATTTCCTGGGGTAGATAGATCATGTGAGAAGACCAAAGTTAGGAGACCATAGGTCTAGTTCTTGCTACTATTTTAATTTGAGTGAAAGCAAGCAAACCCTTTGGTTTTAATTGCTTCATCTGTGAAATGATCTCTGAGACTCTTCTCTAGCTTCTAACATTCCACTACTGTACATTTAGGATTTATATGACAAGTTGTATTAAAAATAGGATAACGTTTGAAATAAATGTTAACTTGGTTAATTTCCCAGTTCAGATTAGGATTATCAGTCATTTAATTGTTGTTAATACATGCCAAGGCCTTTCTGGTTAACTCTTTAAGAATAAGAATGAAGGGATTTTGCAGCATCTGGGCAGTGCAAACAGTAAAGCACTCAACTACTAGCAGAAGGTGGCACAGTGGTTAAGAGCTAGGCAGTTCGAGTTCGAATTCACCAGCTGCTTCTTGGAAACGCTATGGGACAGTTCTACTCTGTCCTGTAGGATCTGTATGAGTCAGGAAAGACTCTACGGCAATGTTTTTTTTTTCCTTGGTACTAGCGGAAAGGTTGGTGTTTGAACCCACTCAGAGACCCCTCTGAAGACAGGCCTGGAGATCTGCTTCTGAAAGCCCACAGCCTTGAAAACCCTGTGTTGCGGTTCTGCTGATACACATGGGGTTGCCACAGGTCAGAGTAGACTTGTGGGTAACTAACAACAACAGCAGCAAACACAAATAGACTAGGAGCCCAAAATCAGCCTAGCATGTGCGGGTTATTTAGAGTATTAAGTGGGATGCTTGTATGTAGGACTTGACAGAGGTAGGTGCTCAGCTTTGTAAATTCCCTGCCTTTGCTTGATTCTACATTTACATGTAGTTGCATAAGTTATTTCACTAAAGCTTGCCTTTCTTTTTTAGAGAAATTTTAGAATTAGGAAAGATGGTAGAAATCATCCAGTTCAGCCCCTTCAAAATATGGAAAAGTAATGAGGTGTAAAAAATTGACTTACCCACGATCAAACAGGTTTTCATATATGTACAGTGAGGAATACAATCTTTAAAGATACTTCCTTCTCTGTACAGTATTACATAAATTCAGTTTTGTAGAGTATTCTGGAAGTTTTATGTTCTAAGCATTGTGAATATGTAAAGTGTGTTGAATCGCTAAGATTAAAGATGTCTGATTCTATATACCTCCAAGTTGCTTATTTAAGTAGTCATTTTGGGAATGTTCTTCATAGGAAACTAGATTTTAATTATTTTTATCTTGAATTATGTAAATCAAGAGTTATATATTTCGTTTTTTACTTTAATGTAGTAACCACATAGGGAAAAAGGGAGAGGTCTCGATAGGCTGTTGTGCCTGGGTTATTTCACACGTACGTATCGTTTGGAAAAAGTTATGAAAGTCCTTAATATATTTTTTTGAAGTATAATCTTTCACAGTGGCATTTAATCTTAGGGAAAGATTGTCTAAATATGGAGCTTTTGGGTTGTAAAAATTTTCCTGCTGCTGTTTATAATGGTACATATTCAAGTATGTGTATATCAGGATCTTAGAAAGGTTTCTAAAAGTCTAGTAACTGTTATTAAAGCAGGAGCCTTTGAAATAGAGCAGCACTGGACCGTGGGTCTGGGTGACATAACTCACATGCATAACTCGTGCTTTCTTTAAGACACCCTTTGGTCTCATTATGTTTTTGCCAGAGTTAATTTTCAAGAGTTTGTAAGGTCATTGGTTAGGTTAATTGAGTTATGGTGGTAATTTTCATGGCAGCCTGTGAGAAGGATGTAAGTATGATTTAATTTTGTCCATACATCTATAAACATGTCCGTCTGTGTATGAAGATATAAGCAGTTTGAAATGTATTGTTAAATAGTTTTATTAGAATTATAAATTGTCTAGTTATTGTATCAACTGCATATGCCTACCAAGAGGCAGTTCACTTTTTTTTTATTTGTGTATGAGATTATCTCAAATGGAGGAATAAACTTTCAAATTTTTTGAATGGATGGAAATTTTTTTCTATGTAGCTCCACTTACAGTGAGAAAGCTTTATACATGTAGTGAGTACTATCACAGACTAAGAGATTGTCCAAATTACTGTCCTGGAATTCTATCACTTATTAATTCAGTAAGAAACTCCCACTTGGGTACCAGATGTGTTGATTCTGCAGGAATTTTGTTATACTGATATTTGTTGTTAAATGATTTCATCCGCTGTCTTGAAAGATGAGGGCAGAAGTAGAATATTTAAAAGTATAGTGAATACTTTTCCACTTCACTCGGTCCGTATCTCTTTGTTGTTGTTAGATGCCGTCGAGTTGTTTCCGACTTATAGCAACCGTGTGTACAACAGAACGAAACACTGCCCAGTCTTTATTAGTCCTGCTTAATTTTCACCACCTCCTTTTCCTTCTAAAAATGCATTTTTTCATTCCCACTAAAGAATGCAAGACTAAGGGAAGTTGCTTATCCTGATGTAGAATATTCCCAAAGAAACCATTTTCCAGTAAGTGGATTAGTGTAGCACATCAGTGTGAGTCAGGGACCCCTTGGGAGTTTCTAAGACCCTTTCAGGGGTCTGAAAAGTTAGAACTACTTTCAGAAAAATATTAGAATAATATTTGCCTTTTTCACCCTGCAGAAGCCGTGGTGGGTAGAACTATTGATTCTTGAGCATGAATCAAGGTAGCAGCACCAAGCTACTGGTACCTACCTACCCATTGCCATCGAGTTGATTCCAACTCATAGCAACCCCATAGGACAGAGTAGAACTGCCCCATAGAGTTTCCAGGGAGTGCATGGTAGACTCGAACTGCAGACCTTTTGGTTAGCAGCCGTAGCTCTTAACCACTACGCCACCAGGGTTTCCAAGCTACCTGTAGTCACTGTAATTTTCAACCACTGTGAGTTCCATCTGACTTGTTATAAGTTAGTCTGGCAAGCATATAGAAAATGCCCTCACCATTTCAATAACTTGTGTTGTTTCTTACCCAAACACTAAAGCTTCAGAGGAAATACTTATACAAATATATCAGAGAAACAATTTTTGGTAAGGCTTCCTAAATGATTTTTATAGAATTTGAGGGACATGCCACTTGAGCTGCGCTAACATTTTAATGAAATCTCTTATTTGTTAGGTTCTCCTTTTTTTTCTTTTGCCAATTGTTTTGCCAATTCTACAGTTTCTACATGTATTTTTCAGTGTCATTGATTACATTTTTCATGTTGCACAACCATTATCGCTACCCTTTTCCAAATTATTCCACCACCATTAACATAATCAACTTAATGCCCCCATCTTAGTTATCTACTGCCGCT